GGTTGTGCTCATTTAGCCCAGGCAGATAATGCTATTCAATAATTCCTTTTTTAATTCATGAACATCTAAGGAAAACAGTAGCTTGGATAATCAAGGTGGTGTCTGTGGGCTTGGTGCTTTGACACAGCATAACACCGTCCCTGCTTGGTTTCAGAGGCTGGAGCTCCCAGCATAGCAGGTATTCTAGATGGCAGTGCCTGCTGATCTTTGAGTCCTAAGGTTCTTTCCTGCTAGCAGTGGTCTTTTTGAGGAGAAAGCATGTCAGGGCTTTGAGACCAGACAGGGGTGGGTTTGCAGGCTGGCTGTGGGACTGCTGGCAGCTTGGCTCCTGAGCTGATGGATGAGATTCCCCTCCCAGGGTGCAGTGCAGGTCGCTGAGGCCACAGTGCGGGGCGTGCACCAGTGTGACTGGCCCACTGGGACCAGGACAGGCTCTCCTCTCCCTGCTGTCACTAGTGCTGTGAACTGGGGAAAAGAGCTGGTATCCCCTGAGCACTCATACGTTAGCCTTTGGGAATTAAGTCTTCAGGCACATCAGTCCACTCTGAAGCAGGGAGAGCAGTGGTGTCCATTCATACCATGCCCAAGAGGCCCCCTGCTGTCGGGCCCTTTGCAGAGGGCACACACCCGCCTCTTAGCCTGTAAGACTCTGCTGGAGCAAAAGCATCTAAGTAATGGGCATGAGCATGGACCTCCACGTCACACTAAGGCTTGGAGGAAACAGCCCAGGGCCACCCACAGGGCGTGGGGACTGGCCCCGTGGCTGGCAGCTCTGGGAATGTTCTGGACCAGGACGGCTCGCGAGGGGGTACCTTGGTGGCAGGCGCTGGTGTGGCAGGCACTGCAGCCTGGCCTGCCCACCCAGGTGCCGAGAGACGCAAGCCCAGAGTCTCACCGTTAAAGTAGGTGCTGTAGCCAGATGCCCCCTGGAGACAGGGGAAAGCCCCAGCCTGTGGCCTCGGTTTGCCAGAATGTAGTTGAGAAAAAGAAAAGTGTTCCAGAGAATTCACATCATCCCTTGGGTTTTGCAGTGGTAGAACTGTATTATTGGGTGTCCAAATTAATGTGGATAAATGTGGTATCTGGTAATTTGGCTTTAATATTCATTCCTTTGTCTTCCTACATCCTCCTTTCATTTCCAAGGGGATGTGCGCATGGTGCATGGTTCCATGCAGCCCTTGCCTGAAGTGAGCTGCGCAGAGCATCCTTGAACAAGCTTGTGGGCGTGGTTGTGGCCCAGCTGACCTTGTGCCTATGGCATCTGCAGCCTGAGGTGGCTTGCTGTGTGTGCTTTCCTGGTGGGCTTAGGTCACAGGTTGTAATGAAGACCTGATGTGAAATGCGTGTCGTCAACAGAGCTTTTGCCTAAGTTAGTAATCCGTGTTAAACATAAGCAGTGGGCAGACTTCATCCAAATCCAGAAAAAGAGGTTTGGATCACTCTGTTTATTCCTGTTTAGGTGCATGCTTAATGCACTAGCAGTTTGCCACTGAAATGCTTTTCTCAAGGAAAACATTGCAGCCTCCGGTTTTCTCACTAGAGTCCCAGGTGACCAAACGCAACAGGAACCCTGGATTTGGACAAGGTGTTAGCTGTGTTTCCCCCAAGCACCTTTAGGGAACTGAGAACCCTGTCATCCATTCGTCTGCATCCTGCTGGTTCCAGCTGGTTTTTCCATCTTTCATGTCAAAGCTCTGGGCTTCTGGGTCCAGCCCATTGCGCTGGGCTTTGGGCTGTGAGTGAGTTGCCCTGGCATTATTAGGTCTGCTCTTGGGGTCATGGCCTGTGCTCCCAACTCGAGAGCCTAATAAGGAGAGGAAGTTCACTCACGTGAGAATGTGGATCCTTGTAGCTATCCTGGGAGGTTATGTTGAGGAATAAATAAGACCTCTGGTGAGAACAGGCTGCCTGCAAGGGAGGCCTGTGTTTGCATAACCTGAATAGCCAAGGCCAGGGGGCTCTGCCTCCATGCAAACTCACTCTTCAGTTCAAAATTTAAAGGTACAGCTTACATCTAGGAGAACCCTATGAGACAAATGTGGAGGTGGTAGCATTTGTGGGCATGACTAGGGTTGGTGACACTCCTCAGTAAGCGGCCTGTGTAAGGCCAGCAGACCTGACTCCAGATAGGGGAACTCCGTTTCTGGAGACCCTGTCATTTTGCTGTAAAGACTGAGCAGAAAGCTGGTGTCCTTGTCCTGGCACACAGCTAACACCTTGTCCAAATCCAGGGTTCCTGTTGCGTTTGGTCATCGCCCTTTCCTTGTAAGAAGTCATACAGTAAAAAACAAATAAATCTTCCAGCCTTTAAAATAATGCTGGAATATGCATAAAAAGGAATTAGATTTTTACATATGTAAATCTTCATTTATTTATTTATTCATTTATTTATTTATTGAGAGGGCATCTCATTTATTGATCAAATGGCTGTTAACAACAATAAAATTATATATACGGGACTCAATGCACAATCGTTAATCAACCCCAAGCCTAATTCTCAACAGTCTCCAATCTTCTGAAGCATAACGAACAAGTTCTTACATGGTGAACAAGTTCTTACATAGTGAATAAGTTCTGACGTGGTGAACAGTGCAAGGGCAGTCATATCACAGAAACTTTCGGTTTTGATCACGCATCATGAACTATAAACAATCAAGTCAGATATGATTATTCGTTTGATTTTTATACTTGATTTATATGTGAATCCCACATTTCTCCCTTATTATTATTATTTTTAATAAAATGCTGAAGTGGTAGGTAGATGCAAGATAAAAGGTAGGAAACATAATTTAATGCTGTAAGACGGCAAATGTAGATGTCTGTGCCTATAGACTAAGTATTAATCCGAGCTAGACAAGGGCAACAAAACATCCACAGATGCAGAAGATTTCTCTCAAAACAGGGGGGGTGGAGTTCTAAGCCTCACCTCTCTTGATCCCCAATTTCTCACCTGATGGCCCCCCTGCTACTGTGCCTGTCTTAGGTTGTTCCTCCCTTGAGGAATCTTACCCATCTCTGGCTAACCAGTCATCTTCTGGGGCCATACAGGGAAACGTAAAGTTGGTAAGTGAGAGAGAAGCAATATTCTTTGAAAAGGTTAGCTTTTTACTTCTTTGCAGATTTATGCCTTGTGGCTTCTATGCCCAGCATTTGTCTTGAGGTATCTTTACCACTTGGAAGAATTATGATACTCGGTAATTTTCGATAGGAGGCACGAATTCTACTAAAGGGTTGTAATTAGGAAGGAAGAAGAAAAGCTATAGAAGTAGCAGACGAAAGAAAACATGGGAAGATCAATTATTTCTTTGACATATCTTCTTGTAGAGTAACATAAGTATGTGTAGGTTTTAACAAACTACTAATTAAATTGCATACACACATTAACAGAATAGGAATACAGATACATAACAAAAGCAGACCTACAATTACCAGCCATATCCAGTGAAACCAAGAAAACCAGTTAGGTACCCTAGGCATTTGTGAAAACTTATCAATAATATGATGGATATTGTCTAACTGAATTTGAATAGTTTGAGAAAAATCAGACAAATTAAAACAACACATTCCTGGGAACTGTTCACATCCCATATGTTCTTTTAACAGTAGATAGTCTATAGTCGCACGATTTTGGAGCACTGCAACTTGCACTTCTCCTAATTCTTGGTTGAGTTCTGACAGTATAGATCCAGTCAAATTTGTTGTTTTACTGTATGCACAGGCCAGCTTAGATATCTCCTTCTTCATTCCAATGGCAAGTCCAGGAACCGGTGGGATGAATGCAGCTACAACTGCAACAGCGCCAGGATCTTTGTTGAAGTTTTTTGATGATCATCTTCTGGAATGACTCTTCCAGAGGATGTTGATGTTGGAAGTTCTTCTTCATATCGTATCTTAATTCGTTTTCTGGGTAGCCAAATTAGGCTTTGATCCTCTGTATAAACACAAACAAACCCTTTGCCCACACTTTGATATGACCTTTATACCATTGTGAAGAACCTATTGGAGATCACCACACAGGAACTGCTTTTTTTTTTTTTAAGAGAAAGGAATATTATCAGAAAAATGTACTTATATAGCTGATCATCTCACAGGAATTAGTTTTTTATCGAAATTTATTAACTTAATGTTATAACAGTGTTATGATCACCTTACTTGAATTATCTTTCTCTATTTGACCAAAATAGAACTCGATTTTACTATGGGTTTTTAGTATTTTGGGTCATAATCATGCCAGGGATAAATTAATAGATCATCTCTTAGTGAACTGTCAGGACAGATCCCCTTTGGGTTTGAAATGTAATTAAAAATGTCAGTGAACTTACTTGGAGATCCACCGAGCTTTAGGGTCCCTTCAGAAACGTTAGGCAAGGACTGAAAATAGTTCTCCATGTGTAATGACATGAAGGAACAATGCAGAGCGGCGTGCAAGTCACCTCTGTCAGGCTTCCCTTGTCTGAATTTCCTGTAGTTTTGGGATATTATTACCAGTTTCCTGCTGGGATGTTTTTAGCATCAGGCTATGGATCTGGTGGGTGGCCTTTCTCAGAAATGGCCAGTGCCATAGAGGAAGCGTCTCTGCATAATGTCCATGCCCTCTGCAGCCCTCCTCCCTCATTAGGCTCCCACACTGCTTCCTGTCCCCTAGGCAGCCTCCCTTTTGGCAGGCTTTGAAGGGGGTGGGGGTGGTGTGGAGGAGGCTGGAACAGACTTGGGAGGTTGGGTGCCTCGGTTATGGCCGCTGTCCCCACCCTCCCTGCCTGTCCCCTCCACCACGTGCATGTGGTTGGCCTCCCTGAAGTCTGCCTCAGAGCTAACCAGGGCTGACAGGTGGACAAGGATACCAGCGTTTTTGTTTGAGTAAAGGTCAGTAGGTACAAAGCAACTTTTTTCTGGGGTCTTAAAAACACTGGTTTCGGGCAAATTACCATTTACTTCTCAAGCAGTTACTTAAGAAAGAAAAACAGCAGTCCTAATATTCAGTTCTTTCTGTTTCTTTTCAGATTTCATGTTCCTTTTGTACAAGTGATTTGTGAGACCATAATTCTCTGCTGAGATTTGAGGTGGAGTTGGGAATTTGGAGAATTCCTGCAGCTCCATAATTTCCCGGGTTTAATCAGCTAACAGTTCACCTTTCGAGGAGTTGTACAGTTTGCTATTCATCTCTCATAACTGAGCGCCAAAGGTAAGCATGCAGTTTCTTGTTTAAAAGGTGGAGTACTTGCCACTGTGGCCTTAAGGGCTCCTTTTGCACAGTCAGTTTTACATTAGTAAAGGGACAGTAACTACAGCCTTGATTTGTCGGCTGCATAAAATGTAAGTTCTCAGGGGACCTGGCTCAAAATTGAGGCTTCTCGTCCTGTTTTAGCATGTGCTCATGTTGAGGAGCTGTGAAGCTGACCATGGGCACCTCCGGTCTAGAAACCTCACGGGGCCTCAGCTCGTCTGCCCAGTCTGTGGTCTTGAGTCTGTATGAATCGGAGCCTTCTGTGCACTGCATGGGGTGCACGGTATAAACAGGACCGCCTTCGGGTGCTTCCAGTCCAGGAAAGGCTCGTTCCAAGTTGATGCTGGGAAGGTTAAGTCTGCATTAGAACATGCAAATGGATAAGTGGTTCTGAGGAAAGTTATAACTGTATGAGAAATGTGCTCGTGTGTGTCTAGCATGTAGTTGCAGTACAGCAAGTGGTTTGTGACATCCAGTGGTTCAGTGGTAAGAGTTGGTGGACAGAATGGTATCGCTGTATAACAGAAACTCCTCAGCCCTGGAAATCACTTGGAACCTTGGGTTAGCGGTATAGGAGTCGCTGTTTAGTAGCCTGGCATCCTGTCTGGCTGGAAGGTACAGTCTCGTCTCCAAAATGTTGACCCTAAGTGTAGGATAGCAGCACCCAGTTCACTAGCTTTCCTTTACGACCTTATTTTTTTTTTTATGTATAAATATATCATTTTATTTATAAACCATAGTTCAATTTTCTAGCTAACTTTAAAACACTGTTCCCAAACAAAATTCACCCAGGTAATTGGATTCTATTCAATCCAATCAACATTTATTCTTTTCTCCTTCCTATTTCTGCTTGTTCTCTGTGCTCAAATACATTTTTTTTTATTTTGGTATCATTAATATACAATCACATGAGTAACATTGTGGTTACTAGATTCCACCTATTATCAAGTCCCCACTGCATACCCCATTACAGTCACTGTCCATTAGTGGAATAAGATGCTGTAGAGTCACTACTTGTCTTCTCTGTGCTATACTGCCTTCCCCGTGTCCCCTTATATTATGTGTGTTAATCATAATGCTGCTTATTCTCCTTCTCCCTTTCTTCCCACCCACCTGTCCCAGTCTCTTTCCTTTTGGCAAATGTTAGTCCATTCTTGGGTTCTGTGAGTCTGTTGTGTTTTGTTACTTCAGTTTTTGCTTTGTTTTTATGCTCCACAGATGAGTGAAATCATTTGGTACTTGTCTTTCTCTGCCTGGCTCATTTGACTGAGCATAATACTCTCTAGTTCCATCCATGTTGTTGCAAATGGTACGACTTCTTTACTTCTTATGGCTGAATAATATTCCATTGTGTATATATACCACATCTTTATCCATTCATGTACTGATGGACACTTAGGTTGCTTCCATTTCTTGGCTATTGTAAAGAGTGCTGCGAAAAACATAGGGGTGCATATGTCTTTTTGAAGCTGGGCTCCTGCATTCTTAGGGTAAATTCCTAGGAGTGGAATTCCTGGGTCAAATGATATTTATATTTTTAGTTTTTGGAGGAGCCTCCATACTGCTTTCCACAATAGCTGAACTAGTTTACATTCCCACCAGCAGTGTAGGAGGGTTCCCCTTTCTCCACATCCTTGCCAGCATTTGTTGTTCCTATTCTTTTCTATGTTGGCCATCCTAACTTCTGTGAGGTGATTTCTCATTGTAGTTTTAATTTGCATTTCCCTGATAATTAGCGATCAGGGATAAAACATCTTTTCATGTGCCTGTTGGCCATCTGAATTTCTTCTTTGGAGAAGTGTCTGTTCATATCCTCTGCCCATTTTTTAATAGGGTTATTTGCTTTTTGGGTGTTGAGATGTGTGAGTTCTTTATATATTTTGAATGTTAACCCCTTTTCGGATATGTCATTTATGAATATATTCTCCCATACTATAGGATGCCTTTTTGTTCTGCTGATGGTGTCCTTTGCTGTACAGAAGCTTTTTAGCATGATGTAGTCCCATTTGTTCATTTTTGCTTTTGTTTCCCTTGCCCAAGGAGAAAAAGTTGCACATGTTTATATTTAAGAGATTTTTGCTTATGTTTTCTTCTAAGAGTTTTATGGTTTCATGACTTACATTCAGGTCTTTAATGCATTTTGAGTTTACTTTTGTGTATGGAGTTAGACAATAATCCAGTTTCATTCTCGCATGTAGTTGTCCAGTTTAGCCAACACCAGCTATTGAAGAGGCTGTCATTTCCCCATTATATATCCATGGCTCCATTATCATATATTAATTGACCATATATGCTTGTGTTTATATCTGGGTTCTTTAGTCTGTTTCATTGGTCTGTGGTTCTGTTTTGTGCCAATACCAAATTGTCTTGATTACTGTGGCTTTGTAGTAGAGCTTGAAGTCGGGGAGTGAGATCCCCCAGCTTTATTCTACTCAGGATTGCTTTGGCTATTCAGGGTCTTTTGTGGTTCCATATGAATTTTAGAACTATTTGCTCTAGTTTGTTGAAGAATGCTGTTGGTATTTTGATGGGGATTGCACTGAATCTATAGATTGCTTTCGGCAGGATGGCCATTTTGACAATATTAATTCTTTCTATCCCTGAGCATGGGATGTGTTTCCATTTATTGGTATCTTTTTTAATTTCTCTCAGGAGGGTCTTGTAGTTTTCAGAGTACAGGTCTTTCACTTCCTTGGTTAGGTTTATTCCTAGGTATTACATTCTTTTTGATGCAATTGTGAATGCAATTGTTTTCCTGATTTCCCTTTCTGCTAGTTCATTGTTAGTATATGGGAATGCAACAGATTTCTGTATATTAATTTTGTATCCTGCAACTTTGCTGAATTCAGATATTAGATCTAGTAGTTTTGGAGTAGATTCTTCAGGGTTTTTTATGTACAATATCACGTCATCTGCAGACAGGGACAGTTTGACTTCTTCCTTACCAGTCTGGATGCCTTTTATTTCTTTGTGTTGTCTGATTGCTGTGGCTAGGACCTCCAGGACTATGTCGAATCGAAGTTGGGAGAGTGGGCATCCTTGTCTTGTTCCCAGTCTTAAAGGAAAAGCTTTCAGCTTCTTACTGTTAAGTATAATATTGGATGTGGGTTTGTCATATATGGCCTTTATTATGTTGAGGTACTTGCCCTCTATACCCATTTTGTTGAGAGTTTTTATCATGAATGGATGTTGAATTTTATCGAATGCTTTTCCAGCATGTATGGAGATGATCATGTGGTTTTTGTCCTTTTTTTTTATTGATGTGATGAATGATGTTGATGGGTTTTCAAATGTTGTACCATCCTTGCATACCTGGAATAAATCCTGCTTGATCATAATGGATGATCTTTTTGATGCATTTTTGAATTTGGTTTGCTAGTGTTTTGTTGAGTATTTTTTGCATCTATATTCATCAGGGTTATTGGTCAGTAATTTTCTTTTTCTGTGGTGTCTTTGCCTGGTTTTGATACTAGAGTGATGCTGGCCTCATATAATGAGTTTGGGAGTATTCCCTCCTCTTCTACATTTTGGAAAACTTTAAGGAGGATGGGTATTAGGTCTTCACTAAATGTTTGATAAAATTCAGCAGTGAAACCATCTGGTCTAGGTGTTTTGTTCTTAGGTAGTTTTTTGATTACCAATTCAATTTACTTGCTTGTAATTGGTCTATTCAGATTTTCTGTTTCTTCCTGGGTCAGCCTTGGAAGGTTGTGTTTTTCTAGAAAGTTGTCTATTTCTTCTAGGTTATCCAATTTGTTAGCATATAGTTTTTCATAGTATTTTCTAATAATTCTTTGTATTTCTCTGGTGTCTAGTGATTTTTCCATTCTCATTTCTCATTCTATTTATGTGAGTACACTCTCTTTTTTATTGATAAGTCTGGCTAGGAATTTATCTATTTTGTTTATTTCCTTGAAGAACCATTTTGCTTTCATTGATTCTTTCTATTGTTTTATTCTTCTCAAATTTATTTATTTCTGCTGTAATCTTTATTATGTCCCTTCTTCTACTGACTTTGGGCCTATTTGTTCTACTTTTTCTAGTTTCATTAATTGTAGATTTAGACTGTTCATATGGGATTGTTCTTCTTTCCTGAGATAGGCTTCTGAGCATGGCCTTTGCTGCTTCCCACAGATTTTGCGGTGTTGAATTATTGTTGTTATTTGTCTCTGTATAGTGCTTGATCTCTGTTTTTATTTGGTCATTGATCCATTGATTATTTAGGAGCATGTTATGAAGCCTCCATGTGTTTGTGGGCTTTTTCATTTTCTTTGTGTAATTTATTTCTAGTTTCATACCTTTGTGATCTGAGAAGCTGGTTAGTATAATTTCAATCTTTTTGAATTTACTGTGGCTCTTTTTGTGACCTAGTATATGATCTATTCTTGAAAATGTTCCATGTGCACTTGAGAAGAATGTGTATCCTGTTGCTTTTGGATGGAGTATTCTGTAGATGACCATTAGGTCCGTCTGTTCTAATACTTTGTTCAGTGCCTCTGTCTGCTTACTGATTTTCTGTCTGGTTGATCTGTCGTTTGGAGTGAGTGGTGTGTTGAAGTCTCCTAAAATGAATGCATTCCATTCTGCTTCCCCCTTTAATTCTGTTTGTATTTGTTTCACATATGTAGGTGCTCCTCTGTTGTGTGCATATATATTTATAATAGTTATATCCTCTTGTCGGATTGATCCCTTTATCATTATGTAATGTCCTTGTCTCTTGTTACTTTCTTTGTTTTGATGTCTATTTTGTCTGATACACGTACTGCAACTCCTGCTTTTTTCTCCCTATTAGTTGCATGATATATCTTTTTCCATCCCTTTACTTTCAGTCTGTGTATGTGTGGGTTTGAAGTGAGTCTCTTATAGACAGCATATAGATGGATCTTGTTTTTTTCCATTCAGTGACTCTATGCTTTATGACCTTATTTTACATTTGTCCTTCACGAATTGTTTTAAAC